CTGCACCAGTGGGATCTGAAATCATGACTAAATCCTGACACAAACAAAAAGATTTTTAAGATCTTAAACAATGCTGATAGTTATATCCAGCATGTGGAGCTTGAACCATCTTGTGAGGCTGGTTCTAGATTTAAATCATTAAATGTGATCTCTCACGTTTGGCTATATGAGGCATATAAAGACGGCTTTGAAAGGTAACCTCTTAAAGCCACCCTGCAGAGGTAGAGGTTTAATTCCTTGAGGTGAAGCCGACTTTACCTGACAAGCAACATGTGGGCCTTCATCAATAGCAGTTCTTTAAGCATCCCTGATTAGACTATTGTGGACAATGTCCAAATGCTAATTCCTAGGGCTGTCACTGACTAACATCATGTTTTACAGCCAGCCTTGCAAAGTTACCACAGAAACCCTCCATAATCAGAATCTGTTTTATTTCCAAGAACATTTACACATACAAGAATTTAATTTGTGTTTTGTTGCAAAACAATTAGCCATGAAATAAAGCAAAAATAGTAAGATGTTGGGCGCGCTGGTGGCGCAATGTTTAGGGCGCGCGTCCCATGTATGAGACTCTCGTCTCGAGCAGTAGGCCGGGCTCGCTTCCACCCGTGGCCCCTTTCCGCATGTCATTCCCCTCTCTCTCCCTGGTTTCCGACCTCTATCCACTGTCCTATCTCTGCATTAAAGGCACGAAAAGCCCAAAATAAATCTTTTAAAAAATAAATAGTAAGATGCTATAAAACAGCAGTGATCCGCTGACAGGAACTTACATACAAGATAAAAATATAAAAAGGTTAAATAAGCAGATTTTTTAATCCACCAGCCAGAGTGAAAGATAGACATCCCGACCCTGATTGATGTATTTTTCCATTCTTACAACTGCTGACCTCACTATATTTTATTTATCTCAGGCTTCATGTAACCATAGACTTGAAGACTCACAGACTGTTTGCAGGAATGATTGGTGTATTTGTCATGAAGAGTAAAAAACTCACTAAGCAGAAAAAGAGCAGTTGTTTGGGTTTATAACCGTTGTAAATTTAAACCTTCTGTTAAAATTATGAAAATGTTTTCTTTCAGATGTATGACAGCTGTAAATTACTTTCTCTTCCTGTGTGACAGAGCGCCCATTCGGAGATCTTACAGTGATCAAAGTTTTGGAAGGACACCCCCTGGCACACCGACAAAGCTCAAACAGACTCTGGCCAGACACCCATCCAGTCTGTGAGTACTGGCACCATCCTTCAAATTTCCTTCAAATTATACTAGTCTTATATCACCAGTACCAGTTTAAAACAGTATGTCAGAGATTTTATATATATATATATATGTATATATATATGTATATGTACTTTATTCATCTCAGAGGGGAAATTCAAGCATACACACACAGGCTCAAATTAAACACATTCACAAATAGAATCTATGGACATGCAGTAATGGAGAGTTGTCAGAGTTAGGGGGCTGCACCCAGGGGATGTCCCTGAACTGTCAAGGGTTTGGTGCCTTGCTCAAGGGCACCCCAGCAGTACTTGGGAAGTCAAAGCTGACCAGAAACGTGGTCAAACTATGATTAATATTGAACATCTGAAAAATGGAGAGAGGTTAGAATGCAGAAAGGTTTCAAGACTGACGCAGAGCTGCTAAACACTGAAGCTTCCGTCCGGGACAACCTGTGTGTGCATCGACAGTAACCATTTCAAACGCTACGTCGTGCAGGTAGACCTGCTGCAATGGTGATGCTTTTCTGTGTTGCAACCATAGGAGACATTTAGTCAAGCCATTTCAACACATAGTCCATCATTGTAAACACTGACACTCGCTCTGACGCTCTGAGGAGGAGCTCTCTAGTCAGGGAGCGAGCAGGACCATCTGGCTGTGGTCATACAGTCAGAGCAGAACAAGCACAGGACCGGGATTTACGTTGTTTTCTGTCACAAATCACTCTTCAATCGTACGTTGCTTGTGTTGACTGTGGCTGGTAGTTGAACAAATTCATCCGACACTGTACAAAACACCCTCATTCGGGGTGTGGAAGATGCTAATTTCCAACCCTGGTCAGCATCGATTATGTTCTGATCCTATAATGTTGCATAATCGTCAAAGTCTGCATGGCGAACTTTAATACCCTTAGGCTTACTGGTAGCTAGATTGAGTTTCATCTGTGTGCACAGTCTGGACTGAACTTTTTGTTTGTGTTGTGATAACTTCTTACTTTTGCAATGTGTTTATTGAGAATGCTTATTTTGTGATAACAATATAATTTTGACTTACTTCACAGCCCTAGTTTAATACCAGTCTCATATTTCAGTACCAGTTTATACCAGAATGATATCACGGTACCAGTTTATACCAGTATGATATCACGGTACCAGTTTATACCAGTCTCATATTACAGTACCAGTTTATACCAGTCTCATATTACAGTACCAGTTTATACCAGTCTCATATTACAGTACCAGTTTATACCAGTCTCATATTTCAGTACCAGTTTATACCAGTCTCATATTACAGTACCAGTTTATACCAGTCTCATATTACAGTACCAGTTTATACCAGTCTCATATTTCAGTACCAGTTTATACCAGTCTCATATTACAGTACCAGTTTATACCAGTCTCATATTTCAGTACCAGTTTATACCAGAATGATATCACTGTACCAGTTTAAACCAGAATGATATCACTGTACCAGTTTAAACCAGAATGATATCACTGTACCAGTTTAAACCAGTATGATATCACTGTACCAGTTTAAACCAGAATGATATCACTGTACCAGTTTACACCAGTGGTATTCTGACCACTGTCAGAATCTCAAACTTGTATTTTATAATTTCATTTTTTTTTCATCAAGATCATGTGTTTTTTTTGTTCCCATTAGTTTATCTTACTTTGATAGCTACTCTCTCCCTCAGATGTGCTGCTTCCTGTGCAGCTTGTGTTGATTATAGCTTTTATCCAATCAGATTTTCGCCTCTGTGTTGTCTCCAGGTCATGAAATCTTCCCTGCAGTTCAAGTTTATGATAACAATATTGTGGAGTGTCATATTCTTCAACCAATCAGAATTGAGTTTGACATATAGGGTGTATTCTTTGACATGCCAAAGCCTTCTAGTTTGCCTTGCCAAAGGTGTCAGAATGTACTGCGGCGTCACTGGTCAGAGAGCAAGGCTAACTTTGGTGAATATAGCTAGCTGCGTATGGTTGGTGTTGGCGGGAAGTTCAAGTTAAAGGCAGGGTTGGTAAAACTAGCATGATTTTGAAAGTAGCATTCCCTCCGTGCCCTGTCTGCACCCACCCCCTCCCCTCTGTGCTCCCTCAAAAGCCCCACCCCTCAATTACATGCATAAGCACCACTGGTTGCAACAACGGACCTCAGCTCATTCTTTGAGTGTGGGCTCGTGCATGCATGGGGTAGAGAACAAGCAGGGAGACAGCACACCTTTGGCTCCAAATATAAGCACAAGTCTGGGGGGTATGCTGGCTTCCAGAACGTAGAGTAAGAGCAAATGTGTTTGCATCGTCCACTAGTATACAGTCTGTGGTATATACCATTAGCACTCTATAATATATTTATTTATTGCAGCAGGTGAGATGAGAGAGTCTATTAAGTTTACGTAATGAGCTCAAGTTAAGCTTTTTAACATTGTTCCAATGTGACATTCCAGTGCCAGTGAGTAGAGTATTGACTCAGACAAGCTCCTGCAGTCTCTGTAATACTTCAACATACAGCATTATATCAACAGCTTATTTTTTTATGGCATCATAATATTAACAGAGCCTTGACTGAACTTGCTTTGTTGTTTTTTTGGTGAACAGTGAACTGAATGAGTCGAATCATAACTCATGAAGGAGAACGTGAGTTACTGAGAGTAACGGAGCGCTGTGTAACAATGTCGAATACATGGCACCTAGCATGCATCTGACAGCGCTCTTGTATGCAAGTGAATGATGACTTCAACAAAGGGTTGGTGTGTAGGAGGCTCTACTGGAAAAGAAAAAAATGATCATGTTCAAACGAGCTATTATGAACATGAAATAGCTCTTGCACAATACTTCATTATACAACATCCTTTCCTCTCTGCCCTGCTTCCTCCTCCACTTTTTCTTCTTCTGGGGCCAGATTCACAAACATTTCTTAAGATTAAACTTAATAAAAAAGTTCTGACGTTTTTAAGAATGTTCTTAACTGTAATTCCTGATGTTTCTTTTAACAATGTCATTTCTAACAAACTTTATTTTCTTACTTACGAACTTCTCAGATTCTATTGGGCAGAATCTGCATAACATCTATGCAAATCTATGCATATGCCTACTTATATTGGGTTCAGCATCATTGACTTAATGATCAAGTGTTGTTTGAATATTTTAAAATAAGCAGGTTTGTTAACATGACTGCTGTCTGTCGGTACCATATTTTAGATATACTTAACTTAATTAGTTTTTTTGAGTAAAGGCAAATTAGATTAAAATTAACTGTCCAATTTGCGATCTTATTTTCAGGAGTACCAGAAACATGAGACCTAAACCAAAAACAAAATTGGCAAGCTAAAATTAACAATAAATGTTAGACACATTTAGTAAAACTGAAAATCCAAATCACAAGAATCTCATTTATTCTCAAGTTTGTTCTAAGGAACAAACATAAGAAGAAAGTTAAGAAAATAAATAAACACTTCATTCATGAATATCAAATCTTCTTAACTATGAAGTTAAGAAGAAATGAAGAAGGTTTTGTGAATATGGCCCCTGGTGTCCTTGTCTCCTTCCTCTGGTGTTGTTGTTTCCTCCTTTAATCCCGCTCTCCCTCTCTCCCTCTCTCCACCGTCCAACAGACGAGGTTCAGGACGTCCCCTCCTCCAGAGATCTTCTCCCTCTGCCCACACCAGTGACCCTCAGGCCCAGCACCCGCCCTCCAGTCCCTACAGCCTCTCATCTCCTCAGTCCTTTCTGCAGACAGCCAGGGCACTGGGCCTGCAGGCCTCACAGCGCCTCCTGCAGGCAGTCACCCAGAAATACAGGTCTGAGCCATGTTTTCTCCAGCCGCTCAATGCATCCGAAAGATTCACCTCTGTAATATTTACTAATCAAAATGTACATGTGTCGTTATCTTTGAAGTCCTAACAATATAAAAGTCTTATTTCAGTCTTTTTGAACTTCAGAATTACCCAACTGTTTGATGGGAAATGTAGTTCTTTATTGGAATATCACTTAAACGTGCACTGTGGAATTTTGGTAAAGAAATGTGAACGTTTGAGAAGTGTGATATATGTTCATAATTATACACACAAACTGTCCTCAGAGGAATATTTTGTCCCAGTAACACAGTTTGAAGATAAAATTCCAGGCGAGACATTATGGTGGGCTTTTAAGCTTTTAAGCTCCAAACAGTGTTCAGGGGCCATTTTCTTCTTTGAATAAAGTTTGTGTTCTAAGTTCAGAAAATAAAGCATAGAATCGTTTCAATTCTCCAACTTTCAAATTTCACTACCAAATCTACATAGTGCACCTTTAACAGCAAACTACTCTAAAATTCAAATACTGATTATGTTTACTGGTTTTCTTAGAAACACAGTGAATAATAAGTGATATAACGGTTTCTCTGTTTTGTTAGTAGCTTGTTCTCCTGCTCTGCTTCTGACTCTAATCTTTTTTTTAATACAACTCGTTATTGCTTGGATATTTGATAATAACTTAGTCTTCTGCAGTTACTGGACTTATACAAGCTGGTGATTCAGCTGCTGTTGTTGCGTTGTTGGATGTGTGTGAATGAAAGTAAGTGTAAATGAACTAATTCTTTGTGTCTTTGAGTCTTATTTGATCTAAAATGTTCTCCAGCACTCATATTGGCTGTTCATCATGCCTGTGTCTCAGTATCTGCTTTGCTCTCGACCTGCATCTTTTATCTGCTCTAGTTGCGTACCTGTGTATGTTGACGTGTACCTGTGTATGTTGACGTGGGCCTGTGAGGCAGCAGACTTCAGTTTGTCTTTTTCTTATCGGAGCAAAGGTTGAAAAACGAAGGGAAGCCCCCAGCTGCCAGGTTCATGGCCGAGGTTCCTGCTGCAGCACAGGTGGAGCTCAGCAAGAGAAGGTGACGGAACACAAACTGCCTTTTTTTTTTTTTTTAACTACACAACATCTCTGCATTGTACGCGCTCAAACTGTGGAGCATATGTGCGATTATTTAATTCTGTTTTTGAATTAAGAACAGTGTAAGCATGAGAGGAAATGATCATCTGGATGTGTTGAAATAAGTGTTTGAATCTCAGGCTCTTGTTAAGCTTGTTGGATGTCTGTTTTTAAATGAATGTAAGTCCTGTGTCTGATTAATGCAGTAAAGACTGTAACAAGGGTCTAAATAATATGGTGTAATGTTGTTCAGCTGAACTTCAATTGAAGATGACATCTGCATGTCCACAGTGACAGAAGGAAACGCAGAACAAACACTGAACTCAAAATCCAACACAGCAGACACCGAACACAACTTCAATCGTGATTTGTGAAGCGTCAATTTATAACAAGTGTCATCTCGAGACGCTTTACAAAATAGCATATGGGATGATATGCAGGAACGATTTCTATTCCTCACGTTCCTGTTGTCCACACTTCCTTGCCCCTAAGGTGGAGGTCGGAGCAGGCCGCGCATGAATGAGGCGGCGATGGTTGTGGGGACGACACAGTCCGATGTTAGCGGCTGTGCGTCAGGCGGCGGTTGAGGGACGACACAGTCCGATGTTAGCGGCTGTGCGTCAGGCGGCGGTTGAGGGACGATACGGTCCAACGGTGTGGGCTGGGTGTCGGGTGTAGAGGTGGAGTCTGGGCGTCGGGCGGTGGTTGAGGGACGACCACAGCAGCAGGCAGTCCTCACCAACAATCCTTAGGAATCTACAAGCTGAGAGCTCAAAGTATGTGGTCAGTAACTATGATCTAAAGATAGCGACATGCAGTAATATGATGTGGATGCACAGAGAGAGATAAGAGCTCAAGGTGCCAGCTCCCCCGGTAATGTAAGCCTATAGCAGCATAGCGAGGAGCTGGTCCATACCTGTGCCAGCCCTAGCTATAAGATTTATCAAAAAGGAACATTTTATTCTATTTTATAGACACAGTCTAATCTTAAAAGTATAGAGTGTGTCTGCCTCTCAGACCCCAGCTGATATGTTGATTCCAGAGGAGAGGAGTCTGATAACTGAAGGCTTTACCTCCCATAGTACATTTAGAGACTGTAGGTACCATGAGCAGGCCCGCATTCTGGGACCGTAATGTTCTGGAAGTGGAATACGGCACTATTAGCTCTTTACGATAAGATGGTGCCGGACCATTTAGAGCTTTGTAAGTGAGAAGAAGGATTTTAAATTCTATTCTAGACTGTATAGGGAGCCAGTGCAGAGAAGCCAACACAGGAGTAATGTGCTCCCTTTTCCTAGTTCTAGTCAGTACACGAGCTGCAGCGTTCTGGACTAGTCGAAGAGTCTCGAGAGACTTATCAGAGCACCCTGATAAAAAAAAATTACAATAATCCAACCTGGAGGTAACGAATGCATGAACTAGTTTTTCTGCATCATTTTGCGACAGGATATTCCTGATTATAACTTCAAACACAGCAGACACTGAACACAACATTTAACACAGCAGACACTGAACACAACATTTAACACAGCAGACTCTGAACACAACATCCAACAGAGCAGACACTGAACACAACATTTAACACAGCAGACACTGAACACAACATTTAACACAGCAGACACTGAACACAACATTTAACACAGCAGACACTGAACACAACATTTAACACAGCAGACACTGAACACAACATCCAACACAGCAGACACTGAACACAACATTTAACTCAGCAGACACTGAACACAACATCCAACACAGCAGACTCTGAACACAACATCCAACACAGCAGACACTGAACACAACATCCAACACAGCAGACACTGAACACAACATCCAACACAGCAGACACTGAACACAACATTTAACTCAGCAGACACTGAACACAACATCCAACACAGCAGACTCTGAACACAACATCCAACACAGCAGACACTGAACACAACATCCAACACAGCAGACACTGAACACAACATTTAACACAGCAGACTCTGAACACAACATCCAACACAGCAGACACTGAACACAACATCCAACACAGCAGACACTGAACACAACATTTAACACAGCAGACACTGAACACTAATAAAAGGTGAACAGGGGGGTATGAGTAAGCGTGTTCAACAAAAGCAAACGGAATTTCCCTTCGAGGATTAATAAAGTAACCTGGATTTCTCTTTTGGACTTAAAATACCAGCTGTTAACTTGTCTTTAAAAGCGCACTATGCAGTTTCAGGGAACAGCAAAAATACAGATGAGGCAGAACAAGTTCAGCAGAATACATGCGTCTGGGTGACACATACCTGGGGCCACTCTGTAACGATGGGGGGAGGACGTGAACTACGGGAGCCCAAGGGGAAGTGCAGAGTAAGTTCAAGAGAAAATCAAAATTTTTCTCAACCCTGATTCGTTGATCAAATTCATATATTGCCCAGCCCTACTCAAAAAAAAAAAATCATGTTCACTCTCCCCGTCTCTCTGTGCGACTGATATTTCATTGGCTTCTTCTCTCACGTCGGTGACTCCGGATGTCTGTTTTTTTTATTTTACCTTTTTTCTTTTTTTCTTCCTAATGCGAGCTCGGCAGTAAATATTCGCCCTGCAGAAGATAAACAGGGAGCGAGTGCAGGTCTGCAGGGGGAAAGAACAAAGACATGCACAGTTGAAGAGACGTAGTAAGAATTCTTGCGCACTAAGAAAAGCCTTAGCCCACCCAGGAAGACATGATGGGATAAAGTCTGTACATGGATATACTGTATATCAACAACCCTAAATAAAAGTCACTCAGCTGTCAGTCTGGCTCATGTAGCTGTAAGTTTTCTGTTAGTTTATGTTATTCTCTGTGTGCAGGGTGATGATGGAGAGCTGGAGCCCCGAGGAGGATGGAGGAGCTGCAGTTGAGTTCATCATCCTCAGGAGACAGGTGGGACACTCGTCTGTGTTCATATATTCCCTTTTTAGATGTTATCATCACTGTGGAGGAGGTCCTGTTGTCTGTGGGTGAGCAGGGAGAACACCACAATCAGTCTCGTGCATTCAGGATGAATAAAGTTGTTGTGTTTAAGAGTTAAACTCCGACGTGTCAGCTAGCAAAGAGTGGCTTGATTATCAGAGATTTGTTAGATTCCCTCCACACCACTCCTACAAGACATTCCTCGGGGAAACATTGCTTTTAGTAGATATTTTCTTATATTTAAATTCTCTCTCTGTCAGGTGATGAAGATGAGCCGTCGGCTGGCGTCTCTGGAGCGTCACAGCACGGAGCGGAGGAACACTGAGGTGGTTTTGTTCTCTCTGCTGCTGTCAGCCTGCATGCTGAACGTGTGGCTGTGGATCCGCAGATAGCACACACTGAACAACACACACACACACACACAGCGAATGTCACAAACACACCTTAAACACTCTGTGTGACACAAAGACACAAACACTACAGAACGATTGATGTAGAAACAGGAAATAGTCCAGAATGCACTGCAGCTGCTGTCCACCCCACAGGTGAATATTTGAGTGACTGCATGTTGATGGTTAAGGTCACCTGTCAGCTACATGATGATGCTCTGTGACACGTGCAGGTGTTTCAACCTGAATACTACAGCGGGATGATGATGTGATGCAGTGTAATGATCTGTGTTAGGAATGTTTGTCATTTTAATCTTAGAAACTAAAGATCTATCACATGAAACTATGAGCACCAGTGAATACAAACCTAACACTGTTTGAAGTCTGATTGTTACATTTGTTATTTTAGACTTTTCTTGAAGCTGTGCCGATATTCTCTGAAGCAGCATTTCTGTAAATGTCTCTATTAATGTCTTTATATTTAATAAAGTAGAGTTTATATTTGAAAGTGTTGTGATTTCTTAACATGTCAATATCAGAGTTAAACAGAGAATAATGATTTAAAAAAAAAAAAGATGTGATGGTTAACTGAACATTACAATTTAAAACAGGAGTGAACTGTGTGTGTGTGTGTGTGAAAACTACAAACAGGCTCAAAGTCTAAACTTAAATTTATTGAACAAAAGAAGAAAATGAAAACTAACAAATGTTTATGAAACATTCAGATACAGTTTTTTGGGGGGGTTTGTCAGAAACATAAAATGAAAAATAACTTCATACCAGAATATAAGAAACTGCATGAGATGAATGTTAGAAGTACAGATTATTTATCAGAAAGTGGTGATTGTACAGCAATGACAAAAATGATAGCGTAACTTTTACAGCTGGCGAACATTTAATGTGCTCCAATCTTGTTTTCAGCGTCAGCTTCAATTGGAGGAATCAGAAACAGTTTAAAATTGTGCATTTCTCTGTCAGGCAAGGTCACATTACCAGGGGAACTGTTCGTACATTCAGTAAGTGCAGTGAATGAGCACGGATGATTAGCTCCACATACTAACAGACAACATTTTGGTGACAAAGCCTGGTAAAGACAAAAGAAGAGCCAACGTTTCTCCAGAAGGCACCAACACTGATTTAAAAAAAAAAACAAAAAAAAACACACGACCTGTTAAAACCAGACAGACCATATTTCTCTCTCAGAGATAATCTGATCGTGAAAGTCCACACCTAAAAGTTCATACTGTCTCACAGTTGGTAAATGGATCATCCTCCAGCCTTTTTTTGTCCACCATCACAAGGGGCTCTTGACGTGTCACATTCACCCTTTCACACATCCACACACTGAAAGCAGAGGCAGTTCATTAGGAACTGATCTGAAAAGTGTGTTTAAAGGAAGTAAAATCCTTAAAAGTTGCTTTTTAAACCAGAGGGAGTAGTTGATATGGCACCGGGCTCACGACACCTGCTCAGGACTTTGGTGAAAGGATGGATTTTTGTGGTGCTTACACACCTGCACAAAACTCATTAAAACTTCCAGAAAATGTCTGTGTGAGCTGCATGTGAACACATACAGCAGAATATTTCACTCCCACTTGACGTGGAATTTTTCCGCTTGAAGTTGGGGTGAGCTGATGTGAGAAGGCAGCAGGAAATATTCATGAACTTCTACTGTGACCATATACCATTTCTTAAACCTTCCCCTCAGAGACATGTACATGTAATCAAAAATGAGCACTGAGGGGTTAAAGACTTAACCCCATCTTACTTCATATTTATCAACCGTCGCTCACATACTGTAGTTACACACACTCCTTTTATTTTCTAGTCAAATTATTAAATAAAATTAAAGATTTTAAACTTGTTTGCACGATTTTTTACAAAGATGTGGGCTTATTTCCCCACACTCGATAGTCCTGTGCCATGTTCAACTACCTTCGTTTGCAAAGCATTGTGGGACTTTTCTCCTTCAAGTCTTGTTTTTAGGGTTCGATGAACAATTCCCCTTAATCCCCAATGAAATAACATAGTGCCAAATGGAGGGGTGGGGTTTAGTGAGGGGTTGAAATCAAATAGACGACTAGAATATGTTTTACAGTTCCAGCATCAAGGTAACTTAATATGAGCTGGTGATGGTAAAAAAAAAAAAAAAAGAAACAAAATCAACACTGTTATTCATGAACACTGGAATTGTGCTTTTTTTTACTCTCTGTTTGGTTAGAACAAATAACGTGTTAGAACCAGGAGAATAAATGTAATTGTGACAATAATTTACCAGTATTGGACTGAAATGTGACGGCAGCTATGGACACATTTCAGTCAAAATTAGAGTGCTGCTTATTCAGTGCCAGGAAGCAAACTAGACTTTTAAATGATTACACACACAGAAATGTATCACCAGTCAGACTCCTCATTCCTCCCATATAGTTGCTACAAATCAGTGCATTCCTACTTAAGTCCTTCAGGAAGATCTACAGCTGACTAAGTCATTGCTTCCAACCGTCAGTGCAGAAAAAGTAATTGCTGATTGAGTCTTTGCTTCTGAGGAAACAGTCACTGTCAGTACCGGTATTACACACAAAGTAAGCTGACTACTTTTAGCGTCTTTGGTCCAAAATATTTGGTTTTCAGTGAACATTCAAACTTTAGATTTGAAATATATCATTTACCCACATAAGCCCAATACATTTGATTTTTCACAGGCTCGGCTATTCTTGAGTAGGAGTGTTTCTGTGTTGAAGCTCCAGCTTTTAACCAGTTGAAGCAGCAACACCACCTTAACAAAACTCATAGCTTGGTTATGTACATTCTATTAAGCTTTACAGTTTGATTCCTTGAAGAGTCTGATGTGCAACATCTTGATATAATTGAAGTGAGTCTGTTTAGTGTCTCAAAGTACTATCATGTTTTTCGACAGACAATTTGAAATATGGGGGGGGAGGGGAAGTGGGATGACATGCATCAAACAGCGACAGGATCGGGAGTTGAACCTGTGACCAGTGTGATGAGGACTGTAGCCTCATTACATGGGGGCGCCTGCTCTACAAACTGAGCTAAACCTGGCAGCCCTGCATTAATGCAGTTAAGAATGATTTCACCTGATGTCAAGAAGACTGCATATATTCAATTTGTTCACACAAATGAGTACCAATCCATTCTGTAACCTTTGGTCAAAACATGCTGCCTCATTAATGCAATGGAAAACGTCCACAGTCTTCAACACTCCACTGTGCATAGTGTAAAGTCATGCTAACCTGTATCAGCCTGCTTAAATGTAATTAAACCTCAGAGCGTGTTTAGAGCAGACTTGGTGGCTTGTTGCATTAGTGTCGTTACATCGAGAACATAAAGGTTAAATAGTGAAAATACTGTGCACATGCCACCATGCCATTCATGCTCAATGACCGACTAAAAGCTGTAACTGATAGGAAATAAAATGTGTTACAGAGCAGATGGGCCTTCAGAGGAGGCAGAATAAAGAGAAGCTTCAAGGTCCCCTTGCTTTTACATTTAAACTTATTTCTTTCTGTGCTGCAGCTGCTTTTTAAAAGTTTGTAGCTTCGTGCATGAGACATTCCACACAGGCTCCTTCGTCAGTTGCAGTCCATAGTTCATTCTGGTATTCATGCATATGTTTAGCGGCACAGTAATATTTTCTTTCTAATGAGGGTGACAGATTGATGGGTGACGTCAAAACTATATAAATAAAGTTTTGATTGATGTCAGCGGCTCTCAAAAGACTTTCCCGTTCTGTAGCCAGAGGCCACAAAAGTACTGAAAACGAATGTGTTGGTGGTTTCAGAACCAACCAGGGCTGCTGAGGTTAACCATGGAGCAGAAGAACTACAAAAAACAAAACATCCAAACGCTTCAAAAGTTATGGAAATGTAACCCACAGAGTTACACAGGCCTTTACAGCACATACACAATGTAAACACATTATTTACACAGTTAGTGCCATGTCTGACTACATTTAAAAATACACATAAATACAATATTGAATACAAAGTAACATAGCACATAATAGACACATGGCAGGACTAGTGCAATAAATGCAACAGAAAGATAGCGGATATGTTTGGTCCGATGAAGCCGGGCAGCTTTCAGAAACACTGATGATCGACACAGTACGCCATACAAAGGACAGTTTAAAGTCATCATCACCATCTGTTTGTATGTTAAAAAAACAAAAACAAATGCTACATACTCAGCTATGCAAACATTTCTGAATATGCTGAAATGGCGCTGCAGTTAATGATGTGGTCAATATCAGTCGCAAACACAGTAACAATGATTGTTCAGGTCAAAGAGTAGTGCAGTGACTCCTGAGAGTCATACAACAGAAGCTGAGAGAGAAATCCTTCACCTTAATACAGATTAATGTGTGTGTGTTTGTGTGTGTGTGTGTGTGTGTGTGTGTGTGTGTGTGTGTGTGTGTGTGTGTGGGGGTGGTGGTTGTGTGTGTTAATCTCTGTGTTGATTTACAAAAGGGAGGTTTTGGTTTCAGCATGCTCAGTTTTTTTTTTTCCATCCCATTATCCGTTTCCAGGGTTAACCTAAATCACGTTTAAGAAGGAAGCATCCATAAAAGTGGATCAGAAAAGTCAATGTGAGGCTTTGACCTTTTCATGTTTTTTTTTTAAGATTCCAGTCACAACTTCATAGAATCACTCATGTTAGAAAACCTGCCCGTCGAGATAAGCCAGGCAGCGCGCCAGTATCCACTTTCTGCTTGTCCGCTCTGATTTTTCAACAATGAAGAGTGAAGAAGCGGAAGTTTGTGAATGAAATGTAAACATTAGAAATGTCTGACTTGTTCACAGCTGCAGGTTTATATGTCTGTTTTTCTTTTTTTTTTTCTGATCGAGCTGCCGTCCAATCATTCATATAAGTGAAAGTTTTGCTGGGTGCCATGTGTCAGATGAGGATCTCCACCATGTCATTGTCTACTTCCTGTTGTGTGGGAGGTGGGGCCTGCTGCTGGGATGGGAGTGCACGGGGAGCCTCCTCTCCAGGTGCTGCTGTGAAACACTGGAACATCTACGACGAGTCAAAAAAAAAAAGGTCGGCACTTCTAAAACGAGAAGCTCTCGTTGTTTTTTTAACCTGATATCTGCTGATAACTCTCATGTTTTATATTATCTGAGATAATAAACCCTCATGTTGTTTGATAATCTGATATAAACCCTCATGTTTATCTGAGATATCACAGTCTCATATGATGTTTGTTAATCTGATTCTACCTGACCTGACATACTGTGTGTGATATCTGTGTTACAGTAAGCCACTCCTGACTTGAAAACAACTGGACTCTATGATCCTCACTATGCTGCTCAGGTAGGCCATGCGGCCGCCTCAGACTGTCAGTGGATGCATGCTGACCTGCGAGCCGGTCTGGATGTAGACTGGACTGGGTTTGACAGGCGTGCTGGCAGCGTCATGCTCTGCATGCCGGTGCTGGGTTTACTGTTCTCCTGACTCTGGCCCTTGTCGGTCTGCGTGCAGCTG